TTTAACTACATTTCTATATTAATTTATTATTCAATTTTTGAATTGTTCCAAATTTTACAGAATTTTTCAAAGATATACATGAAAGTATAAATCTACATTATTTTCAAAGAGAGAAAGAATACTGAGATAAAATATATAATACCAAGAGAATAACAGGGGTGGAAAAATGCATTTCAATAATGGGGGTCGAAAACAACTGAGTTATGTAATTTGTGACATACTTTACTCTACAGGTAATTAGACAGGAACTGCTTTTGGTGTTCAGATTAGAGGGCCGCGTGTCCTGTGAATAACATGAATTAGCTGCTGGGTTCTATTCTGGATTAGTTTCTGTTTCTTTTTTTATTCAAATATTATTTTAATAGTTTTTTTTCTTATGAATCAGTTCCAAATATACTAGAATTCAATCATCATGGTCTTAAACTTTGTATCTTGCAGTCAAATATACAGGTTATGTATAGTACAAACATTTCCTTGTATCAATGGATTAGTTTCTCTTAGTCACCAAATTTTATCCATTCATTTATTTTTGGTTCTTTTTACCTGTTTTATTAATTTTTATTTTTATTGTTACATGTTCATAGTATGTATTGATTACATTCCTCTTGGGAAGTTGGTATATGTACGTAACAGGCTTTATTTCTTTCTTTTTGAACCTCTTCTGCACCCCTTCCTCCTCCCTCCATCTCTTTGCAAAAGGTCTATCTCCCTATTTTCTATTGTCCATCTTTCATTTTGCTCTTTATTAATTGTTGGGTTATATAAGAGAAACCATGCGATATTTAGGCTTGTTACACGCACCACATTCTAAATTTCAAATCATCATATCTTTGGGGAAGGAAAACATTCAAAAATGTTCTTGATATTTTGTCTAATTTCTATGCAGTCGCACATCAATAATATTTATTATTAGCACATGATTTCTTCTATCATGAAACAATTTCTTTCAATTGCTAAACCATTCCTCAGATATTGTATTATTCTGATTTTACTGTGTTTTTGAGAAACTCTGTCTCTTTATGTGATTTACAGGTGATTAAATGCACCCCAGATGGATGAGTGTCATTTACTCACAATTCTTTTGTTCCCAGGTTGAATAGCATCTGTTTATATTGATTCTAGTGGTTTCAATAACAGTAACTGTTTCTAAATAAAATTAATGTTAAAAAACTGCACATATGCATGCTTTCAGTATGTTCCATGCTCTTTGGTGTGTATTAGTTTTCCTGGCATAATTATATTATCTCTCCAAGAAGACTTGTGAAATATAAAATACATTTTTCTAATTCAATTCTTTTACTATAGAAGTGATAGGACTGAGAGATCGAGTCCAGATTGTTGTCTATACACAGCAAAGGATTGCGAGAATACACTCAAAGGTAAAAAAAAATCAACATTAAAAAAGCAGCTACATATATGGAAACTAACAAGCTGGATGTGCTCAGTGGGTGCAGTTTTGCACCAACAGAAACAACAGGAGACTCAAACAGGGAAGCACATGTGTCATGACAGCAGGTGAATAAGAAGAAAGGGATACATCCAGCGTTAGCATTTAAAAAGTGTGCACCCCACCCCAGGTGCCTCTGAGTGGATCTCTCTGGACATGACTTCCAGAAAGGACTGACAGGATGCTGAGTCATCTCAGGGCTTCTAGTACCCCTGATTCTCCCACAGTTCACTCTGCTTTAATCACATGCATGACACACACTTGCTATTTGTGAATCTTTCAGGAAGTTTGAGTGAGGAAAAAGTTACTATAGTTCAAGCTGTAGGGTCTAACACACGTGTTCTAGGCTGTAATTTTAGATATTTCCTGGTTATTTGATATTCTTCTTTCTGCCTCTGGCCCAAATTTAGGTGGATGCAGGAGGGGTGGACCCAGAGCCCCAGTTACGGTACCTGTACTAGAAGGAGTTCATAATACTTGCATTCTCACATTAATAATAGATTTTGAATTCTGTCAAAAATCTCTCACGAAGTTAAATCATTTCTCTCTAAACTTTCAGGAACAGTAAACTTATGAGAAGTAACTGTGCCCTAAGCTGTACTTAAGCAACCTTTCTGGCTCTTGCCCTTGGAGGCTTTTAAAAATTTCCTTTTACACTTAGCTGAATGCAGCGTCTTGAGTATTTTATCATTTACCACTGTGCTCGGGATAGGTACATTTTATTTGAAGCTGTAGATCTGTCTAATTTCAGAAAAACCATTCTGCTGGATTTCTCTAAATACACTCAACACTCTTTTCTCTAATTGCCATTTCTGGGACTTAGAATTTTTCTGGAGCTCTGTTGGAAAGCTCTTTCCTCTCTGGTTACTTTCTATGTGTGTTGGGTGCTTTCTTTGTCTGCTTGGTTTCTGAAATCAACTTGATCTCCTCTATTTTCAGATATGTGCTTAGGGATGTTTCAGTGGAATTTCAGAAATAATATAATAAATCTATGTGACTAATAGTCGACTTTCAGAAGATATGTATCTATTCAGCCATCGCAAATGTTAAAATACTTAAATGCTCATTAGTTATGGGAAAATATCTTATAACATAGGTCCTTGTGCAACATGGCTTCTTTCTTCATACTTCTCTTACTGCTTTAGGATGCAGAATCTGGCAGAACAAGACAATTCAAAGGAAGGCATCTCAAGGCCTTGCTTTAGCTCTCAGGATACTGTACATTTTGATTGCCCATTGTCCACATCTTGTACTATTGTTTTGTGGTGTTTGAATGCAGAAACTGAATACTGATCTAGAAATCACGTGATCACAGCTTGCATTGAACTTCATTAACAATAAATTTTCTCATTGATAGTGTAGTAAAAAAAAGAGAAATTTAAGAAGACTATATCTCATATTACTAAAATATTGTTTATTATTTACTTTCTATTAAATGAGATATCTCAAAATGTATGATAGTACAGTGTAAAGTAGTCTTCAAATTATTACCAAAATGTTGAGGAACTCAATTCTAGTGTCATGAAATACATTGTTTGCTCTAGTTGTACTGTGAAGCCTGACCTATTAGATATTCCATTGATATGGGACAGGCTAAATTCCCTATGTCACAAACACAATGCAGCAGAATCATTTTCTTTTCCTTCATGCATATCTGCTCTGTTGACTCTCCCTTTCACACCTTTAATGACCCTTTGGGATATTTTACAACCTTCCCTTCAATTCCTACAAATTTCTAGCTTTAATGCCTCCTTCAAAATCCATTCTAATTAAGATTAAAACTTAGAAATATTCCACAGTTTAGTGCTACATCTTTCCCGCCCATGTTATCCAGGCCTAGGTCCTGGGCCCTCCACAAGGGAGGGGTACACTCTTGGTTTTTCCTCTTCTCTCCACTTTCCTTTGATTCTGGCAGCCCCACAGCATCCAGAATGGAACAGAAATGTAATAAAGAGAATATCGACAGTGGGGAAAGGTATTTATCATGAGTAGTAGCGTTCTCACCTTGATGAGCAATGTCCACAGTGTGGCAGCCACACAAACCTAGGCTCTGTGAGGAGAGTCATGTGTGACTCTTTGTGGGAAGCCTGCCCCCTGCACAGGCCCTTGATGTGAGCGAGCCCCTCCAGGGCACTCCTTTGCACTCCTGTCTCTCTCTTTCCATGGGACAAAACAGTATGGGCCTTTGTATTTGAGGTGATATTGCTCAGGGGATTACACCTGTGAAGAAGGTATGGATGACTCAAATTTTACTCCCTAATTAAGCCTCCTTACAGAGTAATATATCTCTGTACATCTGAAGCAGAGAAAAAGTAATACTGGAGAGTGCTGTGGAAGGAGACTGGATTGTCCATGGGAAGGGCACAAAGCATCACTGATCCACAGGCCAAAGATACATGAGACCCCTGTGGCCTAGAATAGAGGTAGAAGGCAAGACTTCTCCCTCCCACAGGCTCCCCAGTGAGGGTCCTCCAAGATTTCCTCTTGCATCACACATCCTTTGGAGAGGATGTTGGAAAAAATCAAAACAGCACGGAGCAGTCACAGGCTTCAGGCAACTAGAGCATGTGGATGCTGAGTACAGAGGTTGCTGTATAGGACTGTCCTCATTAACACTGACTTGATTGTGATGCTAAGTACTGCAAGGCCAAGACCACCAAGGGAAGACAACAGGAAGACCAAATTTGGCTTCAAAGTAGCTCTTCGTTTACCTTCTACCTCTTCTTCTCCCTATGGAGTAGAAACAGAAAAGGAGGGTAGAATATGAAGTAAGGCACCATACATTTCCCTTTCCCTAAATCAAGATTTTTAAGCCTATGCCTGGCTACTGGAGGTAATGTGGAAATCATAGATATTCATAAAGATAAAGGTTGAAGTTGTAAATAGACATTGAACAAAATTGAGACTTGCAACTCTCAGTGTGACTGGACATATGAATTATGGCTCAGAGGCAACAAATACATGAAAATAAATTTGATATAGAATATTTGTAGGATTAGTATAAACAAAATTTCATGTTCCTGATCATCTAATACTAAGTATTTTATAGGCTGTTAACTATATTTCTAAAGAACAATTTACCAGTGCAAATGAACTAATTAGTGAATGAGGTGCGAACAGACTCACTTATTCACTGTAAGAATCCAGTAGAATTGCTTGGACTATTTATCTGTCATGTTGATTGAGTGTGATAAATGTCCACTGCTCTGTGTTTACATTAACACCCTGCCCTTCACTCTGACTTTGGCTCCCTAAGCCACTTATTCAGAGACAAGCTATACAACATTTCTCTCCCTTTTCTCTCATTAAGCATCTTCTAAGCCTGGGGACTGCTTAGAGCACAGGGCATCATTAGCACATCTTTCTCTTATGTTGGTCATGATGAGGAATATTTCCCATGCTCAGTCCCTGGGGAGATGGTAGGGTTAGTGGGGTCTTACTTTATGAATATCTTTGAGTCACTTCCTCCTACAAAGTAAAGGTCAATTGTGGAAATGACTCAAAGAACTTTATCTGATGTAAGAACAAGAGTTTACTGGTAAATCCTATATCAGGCATCAGAATCATAAACTGCTGCAATTAGGACTTCAACACAAGCATCATCTTCTCCTCTAAGTGCTTATGAGAATTTCATTTTTATTGTATATTTGTTTGTTTGCTTTTAATCCTGGGGATTGAACTCAGGACCTTGGGCTTGCTAGGGAGGTGGTGGCACCACTGAGCTAAATCTCTGGCCAGAGAATTTGAATCCGTAGATCCTCTTCTCCACACACTCATCTCAAGTTTGTTTTCCTGCCAACATCTCAAGCATCATGAGAACACAGATCACGTTATCCTCAATACATTATATTCAATTACAGGCAGCAACTAGACATGATTTGAATACATCAGTTAATTAATAAATCTGAGACTGAGGGTGGGGTATATACAGTTTTGCAAAGTCCTGTTTATATGTACAACAAGGGGAATTTGCTATGTAAATTGATTCTATAATTCCAGTGTTTGTGGTAGAAATAATACATTAAAATTTATATTATATTTCACATATCTCAATTCTAAACTGAGTATTGAATATAGCTTTGTTTCCTTGTTTTAATTTAAGGAAAACATCTTTAATATATTCATGTTGATGTGTATACATTTTTATATGATTTTTATACACAGTGAGTTAAACAATAGCAGCTTTGGCATATTTGGAAACTCTGACTTAGAATGATTAACATATCCTGAATGGCACATCTTACTGTTTTTCAAGTATTTTAGTCTTGTTTTGCAGCAGGACTTCACAATTCTCCAACTCTTCCTTTCCTCAGTATTAATTACATGCTGTATTCAGAGACTGTGGAAGCTGCCAAGAGTATTTCCCAACATGCATTTCCCCTTCCTGTACTCAGCAAGAATTAACTCGTGTTCCTTAATGGAGTAAAAGTGAGCAATAAAGAGCTTTAGCAACAGAAGTTTGGGAGTTCATTGAGGAAAGAGTGGATAGAAGCTATTTCTGTAGAAGGGCAATCTAATCTCAGACTGTGGCAACTCTAATAGCACAGAGCCTTGGGAGGTGACCTCAGAGCTTTTTGTCTAGAAGTCGGAGCAATTCCACAGTCTTCTCAGATGCCTGGTGCTGTAGACACCTGACCTCCAGGCTGACTGAGTCCTGGATCCAGGGTCCTGACCATGACCTGGGGAGGGAACTGGTTGAGAGTGGAAATAGCATCTCTTCCAGTATCAATGCCAATTTCAGAAATATAAGAGAGTTGAGAAGGAGAGTGTTTGAAAGATTTCTGGACAGTGATTTTTGTTACATAAAGAGAAATGCAGAGATTGGCAAAGGAAATGTAAAAACAAGAGTAAAGTGAGGTGTTTTGGGCTAGTTTTTGCTGGAAAAAGAGAAAATCAGGGAGAATATTTTTCAGATCCCAGTCTTTGACATTATATTTCTTTTACAACTGGCTCTTTCTGTAGCTATGAAAAGGAGGCTGAGCCCAGCACATCAGCACCAGCCACAGGGAGCAGAGTCCTGTGGCTGAGGCATGAGCATCCTGGGAGGAAGCTAACTTCTCAGTAAGCCTGGAAGGAGCACCTCCCTTTCTTGCAGAGGGAGAGGGGCTGTTAAGTTTCTCCTTGAGTTATAGAAATGCACTGCATTGTATTAGACACTAAAAAAGAGCTCTCACTGCTACCAGTAAGAGGGCCCAGGACATCCTCCAAGAATGCTACTCTAGAGAAAAAAGGGAAAAGGAGTAAATTTTATATTTGCTCAGATTTATTTCATGTACATGGTGAAAAGCAACCCTATAGACAAATATACGTGACTATAGAAAATAAAATAATATTTATAGCAAAATTGAGTGTGTTAGTTAAATTTTTATCTCTCACCAATGTATTTTTATTCTACTCCTTTGAATACACTGACCACTGCATGAATCCAGACTGCTTAGACCGGTATACCCAGGGAGTCAGTTTTATCCCTGAGAAGATGTCTCATACTGCTCCATACATGATTCCCATGTGACAGCTACTCAAGACTTTGAAATCCTGGTGATCCATATACCTTATCTCAAATACTTGGCCTACGTTGACCTTTCTTTCCCCCCCCCGACATTAAGTTTATTGGTACATTGTAGGTATAAAATACAGTTACATTCATCATTGGGATCTTGTACCATTACATGAGTATGTTTGTTTTTCTTCTTTTCCCCTTCCCCTGCCCTCCCTTCACCTCCTACCCCCTTCCCTATTTGCAGACTTTGTTTCCATTTTTTCCCTTTTCTCATATTTTTTCTTTTCCCTTCTTTCCTTTCCCCTACTCCTCCCACTTCCCCTGCTCTCTTAAACCTTTCCTTCCTATTACACAATATCAATTATACATTT